AGTCATCTCAACCAATCTCTTACCTTGCTAGTTTCTTCATCATCATCAAACAAAACCCACAAACAAAAAAAAGAAATTTTTTCTAATTTTTTGCTACTGGTTCGATGGAACCTAGCACTTGGGTTCCTTCAAACCCAGGCGTTGGGTTCGAAAGAACCCTCGCATGGGTTCCAACAAACCCAATCCTGGTTCAATCGATTGGTTTCGAGGGCAGAGAGAAAATGAAAGAGAAGAAAAAAAATATAAGAAAGAATTGTTATTTTTTTATCAGATTTTTTTTCCACATCATTATTTTGTTGTCATGTTGTATTTCCACGTGTTTTAAAAATTGACATGTCATCATGTAACAGTAAATTAACAAGACACATAACAAGAATGTTAACGGAATGACCAAATTGGGGTTAAAACGGTAAACAGTAGGGACTAAATCAAGGATTTTTTTAGTTCAGGGACCAAATCGAGGGTCTGTACAATAGTTCAGGAACCAAAATGGGGTTTAACCTTTTAAAATCTTACAATTATAAGCTTAATAGGTTTCCATCTATCAAGCTGAATAGGTTTCCATGAGATCTTAACGGAAGAACTTTGTTCCATGGGCAAATTTTCTGGGTGTCTTATAGCAGCACTACAAGCCATGGATACATACAAATAGTGTAGATGGTGTAGATTTATTGATTGCATCCCTTCTTGATGGTGCAATTATAAAGGCAAAGGAAAAATCATAAGAATCTGATACAAGTAAGAAAGGTATCTCAGTATCTCAGCATATATGGAAACAATCATAATGAATCAACTGAAGTCAAAGAATGATGCAGGGAGCAACAGTCAGATTATACAACATTAATATTCCCCAATGTTAGGCATAACTATAGGATCTACATTCACTTTTGTAAATATAAATTCACATATGTACAGTGTATTCTTCTTATCCTGAATACAAGTTCAGTATTCTTCAAATTATATTATGGTATTTTTCATGGTATCAGAGCCCAAATTCTATTCTAGGAAGTCCGTTGTTAGCCCACCTGACAAGACCCGAAATTGAAAGTATTGGGCCTGCATTTAAGGGGGCGTGTTAACTCACATGACAAGACCCAACATTCATAGCGAGCCTACACATGATAAGGCATATTTAGTGAAAAAATCCCACATTAAGTATAAAAATAAGAAGTTTGTGGGTTAAGTACAATAAAGGCCACTCCACCTATTGTCAATTGGTTTTAGGTTGAATGCAAGTCTTGTGTTGAGCTCACATGGACAATTCTCACATGGTATCAAAGTAGGTTGCTCCTTGTATATGAATATTTAAATCTCTTTCTTCTTCTTGCATATAATCCTATTACCATTTCAAATCTAGTCCATCAAAGCAATGTTTTTGGACCCGACCTAGTGGTTGACCTATTTTGGTCACTGGGTCCGATTCAACTAGTTCACTCGATCGATCCAATCGGTTGACTAAAAAAACTTTTTTTTTTACATTTTTATTAGATTTTACTTGTACATTTTTAAAATCTTACACAAATCGTCAAATTTGTTCTGTTGGTTGAAGGAGGGGATGGTGACTGGTAGAGCAGAGAGGTAGATGCAAATATGTGTTATCGGTGGAAAAAGAAGGGGATGTGACCGACGAAGGTTGAGGTCGGTGAAGGGGGATGTGACTGGCGAAGACTAAGGTCGGTAGAAGAAGAAGGAGGATGTGATCAGCGAAGGCTAAGGTTGGTGGAAGAAGAAAAGGGATGTGACTGGCGAAGGCTGAGATCGAGTTGCTGACGGCTGAGATGAAGGAGGCAATTGGCCGATGATGACTTTGCTTTATCTATTTTGTTTCTGCTATATACCTTTGGATTTTGCTTCTGCACAGAGATAAGGAGCTTGCTTTCTAGTTTTGCTTCTGTACAATGGCAAAGGGTTGGATTGGAAGCCGCCAACAACGAAGGTGGCTGGGATTGAGCAA